CAGGAGAGCTGGCACATGGCCCCAGCTGGTGTGTGGATAGCTTGGGGATGGCATTCAGGCATGAAAAGGGATGACGCGCTGTCATATGCTCCAGCAGGGATGGACCTGGAAAACATGGTGCCACCTGAGAGAAATCAGACAGAAAAGGCCCCATACTGTATGGCTCCGTATTTTATATGAAATGTCCTAAGTAGGCAAGTAGGTAGGAAGTAGATTGGTTGCCTGGGGCTGGTGGAGGGGAGAATTGGGGCTGACACTGGGTTCAGGGCTTCCTTTGAGAGTGATGGAATGTTCTGGAATTAGATGACAGTACGGACCGCAGGCTGTGTGACACTGAGTGGATGCTGTTCTTTGTCACCCCGCACCTGGCCTGCCTGGGGCACCGCGGCGGCCTGGCTAGGACTAACACTTACGGTGGTATGTGCGTGCCGGGCACTGTGCCAAGTGCTTCCGCCACTGTTTTCTTCTCAAAACAGCTTCAGCCCAGCCAGTGTGGCTCAGCTTCAGCCCAGCCATTGTGGCCCATGAACCAAGAGGTCACCAGATCACTTTCCAGACGGGGCACATGTCCAGGTTGTGGATTCAGTTGCCAGTGGGGGGCGTGCAGGAGGCAGCTGATCAGTGTCTCTCTCATCAATGTTTCTATCTCTCTCCCTCTCCCTTCTTCTCTCTCTAAAACTAATGAAAACATTTTGGAAAAACACAATTTCAGGTTACCGTTATCCCTGTTCTATAGAGAAGGAGACCAAAACCTGACAAGGGTAAGTGAGCTGCTCAGGGTCACACAGCAAGCTGTCACAGGGAGAACTCGTGCGGATCGCTGTCAGGGGGAGCGCGGCAGCCACCTCCCGGTCTGCAGAGGTGTTCGATGCTGCTCAGCCATCGCTGGGGACCTACGGCAGCAGCTGAGACTAAAGGTGGCCTGGATGAGGGGTGGGGTGACCAGACCCTGGGGCCGGCAGACTTACACAGAGCACTGGCTGCCTGGCGGCTCCTTGGGTGTGGATGTGAGTGGGGGCTCACTGTTACTGGAGAGCCAGCCCACCATTCATGTGCCTCATCCCAGCCCTGAGCGTGGACTCAGGCCCAGCCCGAGGAGCTGCGTCAGATCGGGCTGCAGCGGGAACCCTGTGTCCTCTGCACACAGGAGCCCAGGGAAGGCCCCGCTGAGGGCCAGACCAGGAAGTGGACAGGTCCCGGGAGACCCAGCCATACCTCACTCCCGCCTGTGCCAGCCCTTCTGACAGCTCGGGGAGTGTCCTGGAGCTGCAGAGCCCAGGCCCCGAAGCCCTAAGACCCACGTGCATTTTACCCCAAATCTAACCCATCTGATTCTCATTTGTTTACACTTAAGTCATCAAATGCAATTTTGCAAGAACCGCCCAATAGCCAAGAGGCTCTCTGCCTGGGCCTCCCTCTGAGAAGAGCCGGGCAGGGCCGGGCCTCCGCCCCAGGTCCCGGAGGCAGCTCTCGGGGATGGAGGTTGAGCTGGGGTCCCGGGATGGCCCGGTGCCTCCGCCTCTGCCCCTGGCCCTCCGTGGGAGCTGGGCTGCCAGAGCCAGGCCAGAGCCGGACACACAGTAGACTCTTAGTGGCCAGGAAAACATGGGTGGGGTCCAGGCAGAACACGGCGTCTCTGTTTCCAATCGTGAAAGGTCCGCACTGAACAAAGCGGCCGGCGCTGGATGCAGAGTAATTTTCAGTTCTTATAAATAACTCAGTCCTGGGTTCTTGGCCCAAAGAGGGACCAACAGCCAGCTATTAATAAAAACAGACACTGACACCTTGGGCCAGAACGCAAGCCTCCCGGCAAACCAAAGCCAGCCAGAGGCCTTCCGGAAGCACAGCAGCCTGCAGCCCATTGGGCCGGCTCTGCAGACCTGCTTGCTGGGAGCCAGCAGCCCTGACACAGCCCTGCAGTGGCCAGTGGGGTCAGGGCGGCCAGTTTCCATGAGGGGTGGGCACACTGAGCAGAGCAGGGGGAGTCCCAGCTGAGGGCTGCGTGTCCACCCCAGCATCAGGCTGTGCTCACACAGCCATGCGGGGACCCTGGCCCCGGAGTCATCACCGTGGGATTGGGAGGGAGAGGCCTCGGCCCCAGCCAGGGCTGTGCCAGGGGTGGAGGTGAGACAGAAGTACTGCGTGAGGAGACATCAGTAGCCTTGTGGCTGCTGGGATACGGGAGGGTCAGGGAGGGCTTCGCAGACAGCTGGTCCTCAGGCCTGGCTGGGAGCAGAGAAGAGCTGGAGCTAGGTCCCTCCTTTGTCCTCCTAGGCGCCCTCATCTCCCTCCCTCCTCCCCTCCCTCCCTCCCTCACACCTCCCCGTCCTCCCTGGCTGGGCGGAATGAATGCGTGCTCACTGTGCCCAGTCCGCAGGAGCGTAGCTGTCTCCTTTCACCGCAGACCAAACCAGAATAATCTGTGTCTGAGGGTGTCCCCAGCTCCACCAGCCGAGGGCCCCGAGTCAGGAGCCAGCCACAGTTCAGCTCTCCCCCTTCCCAGCACCTTTATCTGCACCCCCCCCCCTCCGCCCACCACCACCACCACCACCACTGCCATCAGTGCTGCTTTGTGGGTTCAAAAAGGGAACACTTTTACCCAGGGAGGCTGTGGGCAGGGTGACTGGCTGGTCCAGGCAGAGCCCCACGCGGGACCCTTACAGAGCAGGGGTCTTTGGGGGACCTGCTCCTCGCCACGTCCTTCAGTTCTGTTGCCAGCTAAAGGGTTTCTGAGAGCCCATGGGCCTCTCTGCCGTGTGGACGCCCCTGTGCCAAGGCGCTCTGCCTTCTGGGAGCACTCAGCTGCGGCCGAAGTAGATAAGGGACCTTTAGCCGCCAGCAAGGCTCACAGGAGAGCGCCTCCTCGCCCCCCCTCCCCCGGGCCGCCCAGGGCCATGGCTCAGGCTGAACAGGCTTGCTCTGTGCACAGTGGGCAAGCTGTGGAGAGCCTGGCCCGAGCCCTCCGAGTCCAGCAGGAGCCGGGCTGGGCTGTGTGCCAGGGCCCTGGCCGTGTGTGGCAGTGAGCCCTCTCCCGTGTGCACACACATACGATTCAGTTCTCCTGTGACCTCTGAGCACCCACTCCGCCTGCCCCCTAAGGGTGCGGAACAGAAAGGAGACTCAGTCAGGCCTCCGCTGGGGGCCTGTGCTCGGAGGCTGCACAGGGTCCAACCCCGGAGCCCCAGGCCCTGTGTGCAGGGGAGCCGGCAGCACGGCCTGTCACCCGGGTTGCTGCGAGGGTCCGGCGCGCTGATGTTGGTGAGGCCATGCCTGGCCCGTACCGGCCTCGGGGAATGCTAGCTCCATGGTGTTTTCCACAGGATGACCGGGACACTGTGCCTGGTTAGAACGTTCATGGCAGGGGCAGACACCACCAGGGTGCTGGGGGGAGGTGTCCCAGCAAAGGCCACACGGGCCTGGGCCTTGGGGGAGGCACCAGGAAGACCTCACTGAGTAGAAAGGGTTTCAGAGTGACGCCTCCCTGCCTTCCCCGCTCCCCACCGTCGGCTCCTCTCAGCACGAGCCCCCTTTGCCCTGGAGCTGGTGCAGCGTGGCTTACGGCGTTCAGAGCTCTGCCCCTCCGCATGCTGACCTTGGAGTCGCTGAGGAGGGATGGCCGCCTGCCTCTTGGTCAGCCTCCATGGGAGCGGCTCTCGGTCGGTGTCCGGTGCCCGAGGGGCCCAGCTGACAGTTCGGTGGGGCCACTCTGCGGCCCTCTCACCTGCCTCCGGGAGGAACAGATGCCTGTGTTTGCAGAACCATGTGTCAGGCTCCGTGCCCAAGGGGTGTGCATGAGCGAGTGTGTGTGTGTGTGTGTGTGTGTGTGTGTGCGCGCACACACATGTGCTGGGGGCTGGGGTATTGGCTAGACACAGCCGGTAGCTCATGTTGCCGTTGTGGTTTCATATATTTGCCTATTAAAATGACAATACAGACATGGCACATTAAGGTTTAAGCAGCCCTTCTTTCATTAAACAAACTGACGGGGGGAGTTACGGCTTCGGTAATTGAAACATGCTGTGCTGTGTGAGGCCAGAACGCCATAAAGACTCCAGCCAGCGGCACCCTCTGTGCCAGCCGCCTGGCCAGAACAGACCGCCTGGCAGCCTCCGCCCGCTCCTGGCAGCCAGGGGTCAGGGCCTTTCAAAACCTCCCCGTTCTCTGGGCCTTTGAAATCAATTTGTGAGGCCGAGAGCCTGGGCATCGGGGAAAGCGGCATTGGGGGATGGGAGGAGGGAGGGGACAGGGGACGGCAGGCTGCCCTGTCCTCCAGCCCCTTCCTAGCTGCAAGGCCGTGTGCATCTGCTGTGAACCGGAGGTTCGGCTGGCCAGGCTGGGGCGGGGGTGGATGGTGTGCGCTGCCCTGTCTTGGGGGGAGGTGCAGCAGTGGTATCGGTGAGAGCCCAGATTTGGGAGTCAGACCACCAGGTTTGAATCCTGTCTCTGTGGAGCCTTAGACGGTGGCTTTGCCTCTCTGTACCTCAGTTCCCTGACCTCTTAGATGGGGTCACAGCTGGATCTGACTGACAGGGTGACCGGGAGGCTCAGAGGAGTTAGTACAGGAAAGATGCCGGCACGCAGGAGAGTCAGGGTCAGCTGAGCGACAGCCAGGGTAGCTGTCCCCTCTGGAGTCACTCCATGGATATGGCATAGTGCAGTGGTCGGCAAACTCATTAGTCAGCAGAGCCAAATATCAACAGTACAAGAATTGGAATTTCTTTGGAGAGCCAAATTTTTTAAACTTAAGCTTCTTCTAACACCACTTCTTCAAAATAGACTCGCCCAGGCCGTGGTATTTTGTGAAAGAGCCACACTCAACGGGCCAAAGAGCTGCATGTGGCTCGAGAGCCTCCGTTTGCTGACCACGGGTGTCTGTGGATACGCTGTGAGGTGGATAATGCCTTGGGGTAGGGGCCTCCCGTATGTGGCTCGGGGAGTGCAATCTGGGGAGCTGTTGCACCCGCTCCTCCAGCTCCTCTCCCTCTCTTCCTCTCCCGCAGACGTGGACGAGTGTCAGGACAACAATGGCGGCTGCCAGCAGATCTGTGTCAACGCCCTGGGCAGCTACGAGTGTCAGTGCCACAGCGGCTTCTTCCTCAGCGACAACCAGCACACCTGCATCCACCGCTCCAACGGTGAGTCCCGCGCCGCCCACACCCCGCCCCGGCAGCTGGCAGCCGGGATGGGCCCGGCACGGGGTCAGGCGCCGTTCGTTGCTGTGCTTGGTGCTGGTTCTGCGTGCTCCTCCGCGCCTGCCGCTGCCGCTCACCAGGTGTGGGTGTTCCTGGTGTTTCTATTTGGAGACAAGGTGGGGCCACACACGGGGACATGTGACCAGAGAAGCTGTTTTCCTTTCAGGCTTGGGGGCTGGCTGTGGCCAGAAAGAGCACGGCCCCATTCTCCTGGTCCCCTTCCCCGAGGAGAACTGGGGGCCCGAACTCGCTAGGGACCTTCTCTCAGTCTCTGTGAGTCTGGCAACATCCAAGACTATGGGCTGTGTTTCACCGCGTCACCAGCCCCAGGCAGCCTTCCTGTCCCCTGGAGGCCAGGTGGATGGCCAGCCAGCTGGGGCCAGACAAAGGGACCCGGAAGACTCCTGGCCAGCCTGACTACAGAGGTAGCCTGGGGACAGCCCAGGCTGTGACAGAGCCTGGTCCCTGCTGGTCCCAGAAGGTGAAGGACCTTGGCGGTGGCCAGAGTTTGTGCCCAAAGCAGCAGGGCTGTGAGGCGGGACAGGCTGGCCAGAGACAGAACCTGCGTGCTCGGAGCAGAGGGGCCTGCAGACCAAGGGAGCAGCATCTGCAGAGGCAGAGGCCTGTGTGCTGGGGATGAAGCGAGGTCCGGGCCTCTGCAGGCTGGGCGGCAGCGAACGGGCTGCGGGAGGGGTGGGGGCGGGGGCAGGAGCCGGCCTCCTGGGCCTGGCCGTTCTGAGCCGCCCAGGGAGTGGGTGTGCAAGGAGGACAGGACAGGACAGGACAGCCCACGATGAGCCTGGTGGAGTCGACAGGCCTCCCAGGAAGCTCAGAGCCTCTGCTTCCTCCCCCACAGCACGGGGATGTGTGTTAGTCTCGAAGGGACTCTAGGGGGTGGACTGAGGTCTTGGTGTCAAGTTCCAGCGACGCTGAAGCTGACAGAGGCTCAGACGTGACATCGGGGCCCTGGGCAGGATTTTTATTGGAAAGCGGTTCTTCAGAAAGAAAATAAAACAAAACAGCTAGAAAGTACACACCCGGGTTATTAATCAGCGCCGCTTCCCCGGGCTCCTTAGGACCCTCAGTGTTTGTGTAGGCGTTTCCTCAAGGACAGCACGGACCGACAATCCCCAGCGAGGCCGTCCCCAGCGGGGCAGAGCGGCCGGCCTCGGGGTTCTTGGCCGCTGCCCCCGCCGCCTGCTCCAGCTTTTCCCACCGGGCGGCTCGGTTTGCCCCTCGTAAGACCTTCCAGCTGTGGGGCTCTGAGGTCAAGCCGCCCCAGAGGAGGATCCTGGGCCCAAACGGAGTTTTATAAGAAACAGATTTATGGAGGAGAGGGTGAGGGGTGTGGGAGGGGAGCCTGCTCTCATGGAGGGGGCGTTATAGGGCAATAGCTCCAAGAGGCCGTAAGGTCCCGAGGCCAGCTGCCTGGGCCGTCTCAGCGAGGCTGTGCGGCTGGCCTGTGAAGAATGGCAGGCCCCGGTGAAGTGTAAGGCCAAGCACCATGTGCGAGGGCTGTCACAGAGACCTCGGCGTCAGCCAGAGAGGCGTGAGGATGCGTGATGCGGTGGCTGCTGCGGGGCCCTGCGCCCACTCTGAGCCGAGGTGGCAGGTGGAGATAGTGTAGCTTGACAGCTGAGGAGGCCAAAGACTGTCACGTTAGGGAGGAACCTGGTGGTCAGGACTCCAGCCAGGTCACCAGCCTGGATGCGATGAGGGTGGTAAGGAAGAAACAGGGTGGAGAAATGGACAGAAGCAGGCAGGCGGTAACGGCCTCTGAGGAAGCCACCGTGAGCTGGAGCCCAGGCTGGCACCCATGGCCACAGGAAGAACGGGGGAGCGAGCCAGGCCGGGCGTGTGCAAAGGCCCTGAGGCAGGCACGGCCCAGGTTGGCATGACTACAGAACGGAGGGTGGGATGGTGGAGCACAGAGAGCCACAGAGCCAGGAGCCAGAATGAGGGGAGCTGGACGGGGCTAGGCCCTCCGAGGCTGCTGGACGGAGGCCAGAGTTGGCATTTTGTGCAAAGGGCAGTCCTGGAAGCTGGGAAGCAGAGGTGGGGAACGATGCTGCGAGGGAGAGGGGGGGAGACACGCTCCTAGGGGAACCGGGATGCCTCAGGGCCTGGGCCGCTAATTGTGGATGCAGATGTGGGGCTCAGCCCCAGCATGCATTAACCAGCACGGGGACTAAAGCCATCCCTTCCCTCGTTAGGACCTTTGTGTGACTTTCCTAATTGTCACTAGTAAATGTGAGAGATGAATCCACATTCATCTGAGAGCAGACGTCCTGGATACCTCAGGCAGGACTAATGATAGCCTTTCTGAGGTTCCCACAGGCTGCATGGAAGGTGGAGGAGACAGGTCAAGGGCACGGGGTGTGGGCTGACTGCTCACTAATCCTGGGCGTGGAGAGGGGCCGGGTGACTGGACTCGTTGCCTCTCTCCTGAGCCTCCGTCTGTCGTAACCATTCCTGCAACTGTCGTGACTGTGTTTCCACCACAGTAAGGATCGCCTGCACTCAGAATCAGGGCGGGCCGGGTGCTGAGCCCCAGCTTGCTTTGCACCTAAGCAGCTTCTGATCCCCATGCTCCTAGGAGGGCTGATGGGTCCAGAGCTATTTGGCAATTCAGATTCCTCGTCATCTGACTCTTCCTCATGCCCGTCAGCTCCTCAGAGCCTCCCCTGAGCAAGAGGAGCAGCACGCGGGCTGGTTTTGATTAGAGGCGGCTGGATGCATGAGGGGTCAGGCAGGGTCAGCCACGGCCCCTGGCGGAGCAGCCGGCCACAGGGCTCGCCCTTCAGAGGGGCCGGTTCCCGGCGCCGCACAAACCGGGCCCACAGCACGCGGCTCTGGCCAGGCTGGGGCGGGAGCTCTGGGTGCTCGGCTGCTCTCCATCTCCGCTGGCCAAGCGGCCTCTGTCCCTCCTGCCTCTTTGGGGCTCCTGGGGTGTGAGTTGGGACCAGCAAGCCCTCCCCTAGGGTGAGAGATCTTTTCTGGGAAACGCTTGAAGCGGTCAGGCGAGCGGCTGCCTGCGGGCAGTGACTCACGTAAGCAGCTTCTCCGGAACTGAGGCTCCACAGAGGGACCAGGCCCTGCCTCTGTCTGGGTGCTGGGCGGGAGGGGGCCAGGAGGGAGGGGATCCAGAGCTCTTGGCATCGGTGACTCATTTCCCTCTGCGCCAGTCCTGGCCCATTACAGCCCACACTCGCCTCCTGCTCAGCCCCTAACACAGCAAGCAATGCAGTCCCTCTCCGGGCTCAGCCAGGCCAGTCCCAGGCTCCACTGCCCCCCATTGTAGTCCTAAGACGGGCCTGTCTGGTCCCACAGGGGACAAGCCACCAAGGAGCTGGCACCTTCAAGCTGCCTCCCTCTCACAGGCTGCTCTTTTCTCCTAAACTTCTGTCATGTCCATGCACTCTGCGTGGCGTGGCATGGTGTGGCGTGGCGTGGCGTGGCGTGGCATGGCGTGGCATGGCGTGACATGGCGTGGCATGCACTGGGTGGTCAGCATAGTCCTGAGCAGCAGTGCTGCAGGGTTAGTCAGCAGCCTGTTCAGGCCAGAGGGAACCGGTTCTGCCTGGGGGCTGTGACGAGGCGGCCTCTTAGGTGGCCAGCTGAGCGTGGCCTGGGACTTGGTGGCGCCTGGGTGGTTGGTGCTGTGGGAGGGGAGGGGGGAGATGCCAGCTAATCCATGGCCAGACCTGGGTTGAAAGTAATGGACTGAAGACAGTGACCTGGGAAGCCAAGCTGGGGGAGGGCTCCGAACAGAGAGGCAGAGCCGCAGGCCACGGTGCGGTGGCACCACTGCTCACAGCACGCAGCTGGCCTTGGGGCTGAGTCACGGCTCATAGCACACGCCATCGTGGGCCTGGCTGGGGGGGCTCCCTGGCAAATGGCACTGGGGGTTTTCGGACCCCTGGGGTGGGTCAGAGCAGAGAGCCAGTGGGTCCCAGGATGCTGCCCTCCGCCCAGTCTCTGCCCTTGTCCTGGGCCCCTCCCCTCTCCCCCCCCCCCCTGCTCCTCCAGCCCGATCCTTGACCTTCCTCTGGGCTTGGTCTTCCCTCCGCTGCCCCTGCTCCCACTTGCCTTGGCCTGCAGGCAGGGCCCCACGCTGGCCTCCCCCACCTTAGCCAGCAGATGCCCCCATGGGCCACCCCACTCTCCTCAGCTCACAGGGTCTTTATACTCCCGGCCGCCTGCATGTCCACAGCTACCCTGGGGAATACTTCCGGTGAGCTGTCACCCCCTCGCAGGAAGGAAAACCTAGCAGGGCCGCCCTGAGGGGCAGTATCCAGCTTGGGGGACCCGTGTCTGATGACACAGCCAGTTCTGCTCCATCCGCCGCCAGACTTGAATGAACCAGCGTGTAGACAGGGAACCAAGGGCCTCCCAAACTGCCCCAGACACACGTGACTTAGGATCCTGCCAGTATGCCTGGCGAGTGGGCACCCCCACATGGCTCCTACAGAGCCAGGGACACCCCTACCCTATGCCAGGCTCTCCATCAACAGCTGTGGGTGCTGGGTCCCGTGTGGGTGGATATGGCCGGAAACGTTCTGTTTTCAGTGGGTGAACCGGTGTGGCCAGGCCTCAGCCCCAGGGCTGCTCCTCAGATGGGCCGGCCAGGCTGGAGGGGAGGTCCCGGTGTGCAGGTCCCCTTGCCCTGCCTGCTGCCGGCCTGGTGGGTGGGAGAGTAAGCAGCTCCCCCATGTACTGCGGGGAGCCTGTCCGGACTGCAGGCAGCACAGTAAACCCAGCCGTTACTTTTTACGAGTCTCCCGCCCCATAAACAACTCCTCCGGCTGTGGGCGAGCCCGCCTCATGCCCTCCTCCGGCCTGGCCTCCTGCCGGCCAGGCCCGTAGCCCTGCAGACCCCAGGCCTCACTCCCGGGCTAGTGGTGGGGTTTCCCGCACGCCGCAGACCCCCGGCCCCCAGCGTG